TTGTGTTGAATTTTATTGATTAGGTAGTATATAAAAATTTCATTGTTTAAATAATATTGATCAATTTCTTTTGGCTAGCATTAATTTAAGTCAAAACATCAATTTTCAATAATTTTGGCGTTAAACCTATTTTTTATTTTTTTAGTAAGCAAATTCAGCAATTTAGCATTTTAATTTTTTATTTTTGCTGGTTCAATAATTTAGTCACGTAGTTTCCCAAACATGAATCACCGTTTCTTTCCACCTCTCTTTTTGTCTCATCTATTTTGTATAATCAAATTTTCAAAAATGTGCTTGTTCATTCATTTCCGCCCCGCACGCCAATTAGAATTAATGCTTCATTGTTTCCGCCGTTGATTCAGATTAATGACACGAAAAACTCGACGCAGCATAATGGCTCAATCCGAATTATAATAGAGGCATAGTAAAATTTAACGCCGTGTTTATGCATTCACCCCTGCCGGTCCTAATTCCATTACTCTTGTCGTCGCTTTCTTTTCTCTCCTCCCGGTCCCGCGGGCATTCAAAGTCTGTCCCTCCTTCCTGAGCGAAACTATTTAATGCGTTTCTTGCCTTGACAATGTCTGCCGACATGAATAACACGATAACCACATTAAACAATAAAATCTGTCGGACGCTTTTTCCGCCGCTGCCACCAGCGAGTGAGTGAGCACACAACAGATTTGGACACTTTTTGTCAAACGCGACTAGGGAGTGCATAGAAGGAAGGGGGGCTTTGAATTGCTGATGCAATGACAAGCTCTATTGTTGGCGCTCAGTCATGCTTGAAATTTGAATTCTGCAGGAGGAAAGCGTCTTGTATTATGCAAGACGCTATGAATGTCTAGAAAATACGCATCTATGTGAGAAAATAAAATATTTCCAGCCATTACAAAATTATAAAGATCATTTTCGGAGAATTAAGTTTAAATAATTTTAAGTATATCAAAATAAAAAATTCATTTAAATTATATTATTGTTGATTTAAAGTTGTGCTAAAAGTCAGATTCGATCTTTGAACTGGTTTAAAAGGTTTTATTAATTTCAAAAAGTAAATCATTTATTTGCTTCTTTTTCATTAAATTTACTTCTTCATGCTTGAAAAAAAAAGAATTTCATAAAATATGACATTGCCCGTTTTGTCACTTCAGATAATTATTTATCTCTGTTTATTGACTTAGTAGAAAACGATAATTTATTTTTTAATTTAAAAAAAAAGAAATTTGAAGAAAAATATGTAAAATAAATGTGATTTGGATTCCGTAAATTGTAAGAATTTAAGGTATTTATTTGTTGTGTCTGACTCTTAGCCTACGGGATCAGTCTATTGGTTTTTGTCACCCTACAAGATGAAACTTGAGCACTCGGCGTTGATAAAAAAAGTGAACCCCGCAACCCTCGCTGCCGTTCCGGGAGCATAGGAAGGATTCCGAGAGCAGGGAATCAGATAGAACAAAAACGTGCGAAACGCGGCGAGCCGCCGATTTGCTGGCGAAGCACCGAGTAGCTGGTGATTAATCTCGATCTGGGGCCGCGGTTCGCCACTCGGCAGCATTTCTGCGTTTTTTGCACGCGCCCCACTATCAATTGCACTTATCTGTTTTTTTTCTTTGGCCCACTCGGCGGAGAGAGAACGGGTCTTTCTGCGATTTGAAGAGCGAGAGACCGAATTCTGCTTTGCATGCAAAAGACGAGACCGCCCACCCTGTCTCACGCACACCGGCCTGCTGGTGCTGCTTGTGCGGCAAATAATGCGTGTTCAACAAGAATATGGAGCGAGTCGAGTGCTTTCTTCGTTTTTCTGCGTTGCGTATTGAATGAATCCCATCCAGTTGCTTTCTTCCTTTGACTTTCTTCGGGACAATGAGCTTTCGCAATGACGTAGTTGCAAGAGCATCTCTTCATTTTCATTCAGCTCAAGAGATTTATTTCGGGAACAAAATGTTTCTCATTCCAAAGAGCTCCTTTCCAATATTATATTGGAATTAATCACTGTTGTTGAATTCCATTGACAGTGAGAATAATTAACTTTGTTTTGTTGATGGTTTTCAAGAAAAGGTTAAAAAAAATTCAAAGTGAAACGATTAAAGATGGCTTAATTAAAGTTAAAGTTAATTATTATACATTCAAAATAGTTTTAGTAATTAGTTCTATATCAGGTTTGGTGGGAAGAGTGAGGTTTAAAATTGATAAAAATGAGAGTAGAAAAAATATATGCAAATCATTCATTTATAATTCATAAGTTCTAATTTCGACGAGTTCCTTTTTTGATTATTAATAATAAACAAAACAATTTAAATATAAAACTTACGTTAGTAGGGTCTGTAATTACATTTATATCACAGGTCCAGTGTCAAAAGTTTAATATTCCATAGTGCCAAAAGTAATCTCAAAGCAAGTCCTCTTGAATTAATTATTCCAACGGCCCGGGAATATGAGCCCCTATTCATAAACAAGCCGCAAAAAGCACGGAGATACCTGAGTCGGTTGGAATTTTTTAATTAAAAATTATAAATGAAAAGCATCCGCACGCCTGCCAGGGATTAAGTCCCGAGTTAAAATTGAATTAATCACGCCTTTGTGCTACTCCCGCTTCAAAACGCACTTCCGTGCATGTTCTATATACGCGGGTCGACGAATAATCCAACTCGGAAGAGCGAGCGGCTTCCCAGGGAGTTGTTTCGTCCGCCCTCCAGCAATCGTCTTATGCAACCCGCCGAGCAGCTGCGGCCTCCGGATTGTCTGCATTTCAACTCGCAGGGGCCACGTTAGGAAGCGGCCGCGGATTTCTTTTGCTAATACATGCACCTGGGAATAATCACTGAAAATGTAACGTTTCATTTTATGTTGATGGCTCACTTCTTGATTAATACAAGGAGCACTTAACCTACAGTTAAATTACCTTCTGGGTGATTCATTTTAATTTTCGCATCCCTGAACTATGTGAAGGCAAGATATGTTGAATTCTTTAACTTTAAGCCGAGTTTAAAGAAGTAATTAATTTATATCAGAATTGTAAATAATTATTTTCATATCAAAATTTAAACTACTTTTAATGAAAATTAATTAATTAATCTTGAATATTTTATGTTCGCAAACATTTTAATAATTTTGAATCATAATTTTTTCTTATTAAAATTATGTTATTTACCTAAAATTGCAGGTATATTGAAGTTCCGAGAGCAAACTTCTGAAAATTTTTCGTAAAATTATATTTTTTCATTGGAGAAACAACAAAATTATTATATTATAGTACAGAGCTATCTTTTTCCCGCTCATTCCATTAACTGCTCTTTGCGTTGAATATTGAGTTAACAAAAGATTATGTACGTTTAAATCCCCTATGAGTTTGCACGCTCAAAATGAAGCTCGGTGCTCATAAAATGTATAACTCGGTATGAATATGTATATAAAATATAATTCGCGCTCGTCATCAAAGGGGTGCTGCGCAAAAGCCAAATGAACAGCGTCGAAATAAAGGGACGGTGCGTTGGCAGGGCGTGTGCACCAGGTGAGTGGGTGCAACGAGAGGGAACGATTTGCACGCCCGACGGCGCTTCAAAGCCGATCAAACAAGCGTTATTTGCAAATGCTGTTTCACGACAAGTGCACAAAATAATTCACAACACGCCGCGACGCGCTGAGAGAGTGCAAATACGTCAGCGCACGCCAGGTGGATGTAATGCTTGATTAATTCCGACGCGATTAAAATCGATCAGCAAAATGCTCTCTGCAGCGGAAGAAGCACGAGCGGTTTGCTGTTTGTTTCAACGGCGTAATTTAAACGAATAAGGATTAAACCGAGTTTGCAACCTACTTTTCAAGTGTAATTATAAATTAGTATATGTACAAACTTCATTTATGGTGTGGATTGCAATAATTCAATTAAAATTGTAAATCTACTAGAGCAATCATAAATTTATTTACAGTTAGCAAATAAAAGCAAATAATTTTATTTATAATTTATCCAGAATTTATCCATATCAGCCTGTTTTGAATGGATAAGTAATTAGAAAGAGCAAATCAAAGAAAATCAAAGTGTACAGGATATTTTAAGAATTATAAGAATTATGTTTAAATGTTTAAATTATTCTTTGTAGCAAGAATGCTGAAAAATATTTGATTTCACTCCAATGGAAATTTTCTACGGATTCACAACATTTTCAACAATTTATCTGGGATTGAAATGAATGTCATCCAAAAATGTGAGACTACAGATGTTATTTTATAAGAAAATAATTCTTCTAAATAGAATGGGATTTAAAACTAATGAAAGTGTGTGAAATTAAAATAATTATAATTATCTTTTTCATTATACTGGAAATCTAACAAGTACTATAAATTAATCAGTGTTTTTTTTTTGCAAAATAATTGTATAAAGCTTTAGAAAAGTTGATGCAATCTTCTGTCTAACTGAGTGGATGTCTTCAAACTGGCATTCATATACTCAAACATAAAGATCAGATACATGCGTCGTATGTATATTGCATATATAGATCTCACGAATATACACATTCAATACTTGTCGTGAAAGAGCTATCAAAATCCTCTCTCTGGCCCCCTCCTACACGCCTCTCACAGTCGAGAATTTATGCAAACACGGGTTTATTTGTTGTCGTGCGGGTGCTCTCGACAGCACTAGCAGTGTCACTTTCATTTTGTGCCATCAGTCTTTCCGGTGTCAATATGAATATTCGCGCGCGCTATGCCTGAATGTGCGCAAGTGAGAAGGGCCACGTCGCCCCTGCATTTGTCTCTCTTGCCGCAGCTTTAGCTTGTCATATTATGTTACCCGGCATCAGCCAAAAACATTCACAAGCAAAATCGCAACAGTAGGGAGTGGATTTTTTCCCCGCAAATTTTAAAGGAATTCTGATTTATTTTATGTTCTTTTATAAAATATTTTGGAATATCAAATTAAAAAAATCATAAAATAAAAACTGTTTTGTTTATGCCTTGAAAATTTTATTTACAAAAAATATTATTCAATTTAAATTTTTTTATTAATTATTTGTTCTGCTCCCTTGTTAAATCAAACTTCAGTCCAATTTTCGATTCATATAATGGTTTTTTTTTTAATCCAACTGTCCAAGCTCACAAATAAATCTATATAGCAAGTGGCAGGGGCTGTCCTTCCACAAAAGTCCTCTTTCTTCAGTGTACCAGAGATTTGTGCATTGGATGGTGGTAGTGTTCTTTGGCTCTTCTTTTATATCTGATTTGAGTGCACGGTCAATCCATTCCCAGTCAAAAATTCCCCTAGACCCAAAATCAGTACCAGATATCCAAAACACTTCCTGGTTATCCGCTAAAACGGGGTATCGCATGGAAATTATAAGAATTTAATTTTAATAATTTATTTTACCTATTGCAGTTCTAATTTCCATCTCCGCAGCTTCGGTCTTAATGCTTGCTAGTTCCATTTTTTGCATTTCGCATGAACGATTAGCATCTTGCCAATTTTTCTTAAAAAGGAAAGCATTTGAAAGTGAAAAAGGTTGTACATATAAGTTTAGTCAGAAAATCACCTTTTCAGCGCTAATATACAATTTTCCATGGGATATTCTAGACAGTGCCACTGCCACTTCAGCTGAACTAGGGTCATTAGAATAATCATCTGCCTAAAATTAATTTCCAGAAATATTAAAAATATTTAATTGAGTTTTACATTAAATTAAATATTAAATTTTATATTTAAATTATTATTATTATTATTTCTTAAATAAAAGTATTAATACAAATTTTTGTTAAAATGTGGGTGCTTATGTCAATAAATTTTGCTGTATTTTATATTTTGTAAATGATAAAATAATGTCACATAAACATTTCTTTGGAGTCACTGAAAAGTACTTTTTTTGGCATAATTATGGTACTTTTTGAATAATAAGTTAAGAAGTTAAGTAATGTAATATTATTTGCAGCAAATAAAGCTATTCCAATTAGTTCTAAATTAAAATGTAGTGGCACTTACTTGAACTAAAGTCGTCAAAGTAATGGCAAGAACGGCTAAAACACCGTAGACCTTCATCCTTGCTTGTCTTTTCTAGAGTGATGACAAATTTGTCTTTACTGCAGAACTCACTCGGTCAACGACTCATGTAAAAGTGTTAATCACAGTTCAAATAAAATGCGACAGCCAAGTCCCTGCTAATTATATTATACCAGTGGTGCCAAATTGTATCTCTAAACAATAAGTAAAGAAATTTTAAAAATTTTTCATCTTTATTGTTGTTAGTATTAATGATTGATTTTTTTCTCAGCCTCTTTCCAATTTTATTTATGGACACGTGCTGCTCGATTTCCTGTGATTAGTATCGAAAAGCAAAGCGCAGTAAATTTTATTGCAAAGCCCAATTGGTGGCTTATGAAGCAATAAAATCTAGAATAAATATTTCATGGGAAGTGTACTTAAAAATTACGCTTGCCGAGCACGCAAAGACGGCGCCGAAAAGTACCGAGCAGAAAGTTGGAAAAAGCGAACGGCTGGCCTGGAGCGGTCGAGGCAACTTTTCATATCAGAAGTCACTGTGGAGACGAAAATCGTAGATTTGCTCTCTGCAGAAATTCTACCAGATCACGTTCGGAAAAGTTTTATTGTTAGCCCCGTGATTGCTCGGCTGCAAAAAAAAAATCGGTTTGCTGAAATCCTGACAGGATCTATTTCTCATAATATCTGTGAACTTAGAAACTTCACAACAAAAATATTTGGTAGGCCAAATTAAATAATTCAATTTATTTTAAGATGTATTATTTTTTAGTTGACTTCTTTAAATATGAATCAATTAAATATATTAAAATTTAAAACTCCTTCATGGAAGATAACGGAAATTTGCATTAGTTTGTAAAAAAATGTAGTACATATGTGCTATAAATTTGATTTATGTATAAAATGAATTTCATTATAATATGCAACAATGAGTAATATTTTTGAGATAAAAACTTTGATGGACAGCTAAAAGTTTTAATGTTCTCATCTTTCGGTATTTATTCTGTGTAATTCAGAATTAATAATGATTTATATTTAAAACTAATAAGGGAGAGTTATCAGCTTACTACAAAGTGACGACAATAACTTGTGAACAAATAACCTCCAAAGTTCATATTCAATTGTGTTGAGCCTTAACTTTGCCTAATTATATTATTTGAATTTGCATTTTAGTACATTGATTATGCCCTGATCCTGTAAATGCTGTCATAACTCCTGCTTTGTTTCCGTCACATGAACGGATAGTCCTACAAACACCATTCTATTCAAAATTACTAGTCTGTCTGCACAAATGTAGGCTGCTTCGCATTATTTAGTCTCGGAATCAAGCATTACAGCGCAATCATTGTGCACCGAATTCAATTAAGCGCAACGCTAATTGCAGCCGACTCGCGATCCTAATGGCTTCCCTCTGATCATTCGCAATTTATGATTTCCCGTTCAATGCTGATTTTCATTGCACGCTGATTATTTGTTTACTCAGTAATTAGAAATTGTTGTTCTGCAATTAATTAGCGGCAGAGAGGGGAACTCGTATTTAATTTTGAACCGGACGCATACCTGTGCCGAATAATTTGGCGTTGTTTGCCTGGCTGATGAGGCAACTGATTGGAAAGCATGTGTTTTTTTTCTGTTATTTTAACGAGCTCCAATTTTGTTGAGTAAATAATGGATAATCGGGAGTATGGATTTGACGTTGAGTCGGTAAATTAATTAATAGTTATTTCTGTGGATAGGTTGGTATAAATGACATTAATTAACGACGAAAGTTAAATTGATTTTGTTTGATAATGCTTTAATTAAAAGGGTGGGGGGGGGGGGTTGACCAGCTGTCGTAATATGTATACTAGTGGTTTAGAAATGAAATATTCATTTTTTTTTTATAAAGAGACTAATTTTGTTATTTAAATTGAAAGTTTTAAGATATGTTTATTATTATGTACTATTATTGTTGTTATTACTTATTACTTTTGTTGTTGTTGTTTATTAATTACAAATCAAGTCAAAAAAGAGCAAAATTATTGAATTATCATTTTAATTTTTTTTATAATTTCATTATTATGCTTGATAAAAAAATAATAATAGTAAATTTCATATCAATGAAATAATTATAAACTTGGTTTAGGAATCTTAATTAGAATATAATTCTTTCATCAGAGTAGACACCAATTAATTTGCTAGTTTTAAACTCGTGCGTACTCATTGCCCTTGAATCAAACTTAATTTTAAATAATTTATTGCAATAAAATAGAACGAAAATGAATTATGTGAATGTTGCGCAGTTGTACTCGATTTCACTTTGCTAAATAACAAACTAGATTTAATATTTCTATAGTACTCTGAATCGCTCATCAGTCCATGATTACATTGAATGGTGAAGTTTACAACAGATTCATTTTATATCCAACTATAATTAATGCTGTCAATTCTGCGCACATCCACTTTGTTTTCCATCCAGTCTGTGCAATTCCACCAGCTCCCAATTTATTTACTTTTATTTATTTTATTTACTTATTTTGTATGTCTATTGATTGCAAGAAGTGCTGCTTTAGTGAGAACCAATATGGCGGAGATCAAATGGAAATCAAAGTGGGTTGATTAAATTTCCCGGTCGAGGTGGTAATGCAAAGGGAAAGCTGCTGTCTCGACCGCACTCATTCCCATAGCAATTTCTCCGTACACAGTAAATAAATAAATAGGCAAAGCACTTCAAGCTGCTGCCAACTCAATTATTCTCCTGCAGCATTATTTCCATTCGACCTGCATGCAAACAACACACTGTGAGTTATTTTGATCAAAGGCTGCTGCCCTTTGGAGGATCGAGATTAACAAGCACTCTCGAGTGCTCGCTGCATTTTGTGTTTTGTGCTGTTGGTGGCATGCACTGCGGCGCGACGCTTGTTTTCTTATCTTGCCTCTTGTCCCAGCTCTTGGCTGGCGCAACAGCCTCAATGGGTTTTGCAATAAAGCCGCCAAGTGGTCTCTATTCAAGCTCTAGACCGCCTAATTCATCTAATTTTAATTGAATTTCTTTGAAACTTTATTTAGTACTAATACTTGTTTCAAATGTGCCATTTTATAATAATGATATATTCTGTTATTTATATTATTTTAAAAATCACCATTTCCATTACCCGCAGATATCATTTACTAGCAAAAAATACTAAAAATAGCGATTGATTTGCACTAAACTTATATTGAACTTTGGTAATTTTGTATCTAAAACGGCTCCATTAAAATCCCTTAGAAAGTCGTTTTAAAGAAAGAAGTATCTTAAAGACATAGTTTTTCTTCTTCTCAAATTCAATTTAAAAATTAAGATTTATCAAAAATTGTTGACAGAACTGTTGATTAAATTAATTTAAACATTGCATGTAATGTGAAAATATAAAAATCATTTGCCTTTTGGCTATTTAAATTTCAACCTACTTTTTCAAAAAAAAATTAAACAAAAGTTTAAATCATAATATTTTGCAAAAATGGTCCATAAGAAACACATGTATTTTACATCCCAAAGTCTTAATTTGCAAAGATCCGTGGTCAGAATTAACTATTCGAAGTTAGTCAAAAAATTCTTTTCCATCAGTCTGGAGATAATCTTTGACATTTATTTCTCATTCTCAGATTCCAATTAATCACGCTGATTAATTAATCTAATTAGAGATTTCCATGCCCTTAATTAACGCAATTAGTTTGCCAGAAGATGTATAGGCGTGATTTAAATTCATTATACTCGCGTAACTCATTTGCTGTCTAGATTAAAACCACATCATTTCAATTTCAAATCCACTTGCAGTATATGTAAAGTTAATCTAGGCAGTTCATTGAGTAATTTATGCTGCTCTTCTGCATGTATGAGTAATCTGACTCTTCTTTGACCTCTCCCCAAAGAGATTAATTAAATGGAATGATGATGGGACTAAGCCCAGATCATGCAAGAGGAACGCGCAATCCAATTAACTGAAAATGTAATGCGATCTGTAATGAACTAATCCGGCCAATTTCAATTAAAATAATTGCACCAACTTTAGAAGAGGTTGAAATGTAAATTAATATTTTTTGTAGCAAACTTAAAACTTTGGAAAATATGAACTCAATCATTTTTTGAGCTCTGTTAAATTATACCTTTCAATGTCCATAAAATATAATAACAGTTTGTCTGAAAATTAATTATTGAGCCCAACTAATGTGCTGTATCGTGCGACATGAGGACGGAGTATTGAAAACACACACGGGACAAACAGCAAGTATGTGCAAAACGAAAAATCAATAATCCGCAGAAGGCAGCCGATTAGATCTGCAGCAACGACGAAGCTGATACAAAACTAATCTGGGCGTGTATCGGAGCGAGCAGCGCCCAAGTTTAATAGCTTTTTCGGCGGCACGCGGTTGCATGAATATTCCATGGGAATTTAAGTGGCTGCTTTTTATTGATGGGGTACGTGAAAGGCGACGAGCAAAGAATTTTGTCTCCTCACAAGACTGATGTTTGACAAACACCAGCTATACGGATTATTTCCAAAAAGCGATAATGGAGCGCGTTGTTAGGTTAACCCACATAAAAATTATATCCGCTGACAAAAGGCGGCCAATGTAGGCAAGCCAGCTGTTAATTCTGCAGCTCCCAGCACTTTTGTAATGGGAAAAATAAATTATTACGAGCAGCTCGTTCACCCGTGATATTTTTCCGCCGGCTGCAGATAGAAGGGCATCGATTTTGCCAGCCAACCTGAAAAAAAGAACCACCGCTGCTTTTTGCGGACGCCATATTTTGGCAGGGGTCGTATCTTTCTGTGATCACAATTTGTTGACTTTACAAGGGTGGAATTCATTTATTTTTTTCTTCTCCCTCATGCATAAAAAATGAAAACGTTCGTTTTTACTGCAGGATTGATTGCCAATATTTTGTGATAAGGGCGTGTCACAATTTTTTATTCTTTCTTTGCCAAGAGAAAAATGTATTCAAAGGTCATACGCTGTTGATTGTGCCTTGAAGCTCTTGCCTGCCCCTACCTGCTGCTGCAATATTGCAATATCTTTCGGATGCCTTCTTGCATTCACGGCCTCTATGCAATTTTGTCTGCTCATCGCACTCCA